TGATCTAGTGACTGTCGGGAGTGGAGCAATTATCTTAAAGTTTGGAAGTCGGCCCCTTCTTATGGGGGAAAAAATGTACCCTTTTCCGTTTATTATTCTTTAGTTTCTTTGGCCTGCAAGGAACACACATAAATACAAGACACTCCCTCCTACACCTGCAGTTACCACTTCCTACATTATTGCTTATTTTCTTAAAGCGTCTCGCCTCATTACGTAGTTTTAATTCTTGTCCGAGGGGTAGGAGGGTCATTCTGATACGGTGGCAACCCCCCTCAGATGGATGGATTAAACTTAATGTGGATGAGAGCTGGAATTTAGCGGCTGCTAGGACGGGTGGCATTTTTCGTAATTCTTTGGGAAGTTGTCTATGTTACTTTGCCTCACCGGTTTGTGCCTCGACACCTTTAGAGGTTGAATGTTACTCTTTATGAAATGCCTTACATATAGCGGTTATTTTTCATTTTCATGCTTTACATATTGAGACGGACTTTAAAGCACTGTTTAACATTTTCAATCAGGTCACCACCCATACCTGGAATGTACTCTGCTTGCTAAACATGATACAGGATTTCATAAAAAAGCATAATTTGTTTATACAAGTTCACTTTATATTTAAGGAATGTAATTCCACTGCCGATTGGCTGGCTAAGCAAGGTATGCAAAGAATTCTTGTGGGTGTTTTGCCTCCACCTCAATTACAAACTCTTTTAAATGAGGATTTACTTAATGTGCCTTATATCAGAAGATAAATTTTCAATGTTTGTTGTTTAAAATCTTGCTGGTGATCTTACTTCCTATCGTTCTGTTATGGCTTTTTGGGGTTCTTTTTGCTATTTTATGCTTCGATCTAACATGATTATATATGAGTTGAATTTTGGTAACCGTTTTATTCTCTATTTTGTTGCTCGCGAGTTCGGTCCATCAAGTCCGCTATTCACGCCTTCAATTATGCTCTTATTTCGGGTTTTATTCTACACGCAATACTTTTTGGAAGCCAGATGCTTCACTGTCGATCATCTGGAGGACTCTAACATTTTGGATGTACGAGGATGCTGCCTCAAATTTCGAACTCCTATTTTGATCGTGCTTCTTCTGATTTGGAGATGTTTGGCTTGGTTTTACCTCACTTGGACCTTTTACTGTGAAAGATTTGGGGTGGAACTCTGCTTATTTTTCTTCCATCACTGTTATAACGCCTACTTGCACAGGTATACTTGTTTTGCATTCTTTTTGGTGTATACTTGTATTTTCTCAATTTCTTTGCGTGTGTTGTATTGTGGGTGGTGGAGCCCCTAGGGGTACGTTTGAATGTATTTTTGGGTTTTTTAGACTGGGGATCCGCCACCCCTCCCCTTTTTTGTAATTTTCTCTTTATATCAACACGTAGGGAGCCAAGAGTGCTTCTTCCCCTTATTAAAAAATATTTCTTTAATTAAATTTAATTAGTGACTCTTTCATTTGTAAAATATTATTTATAGAGAATGAATATCGAAAATTTAATTCCCACCGTCCGACCGTCTGTTCCCATTTTGGTTAATTTCAAGTCTCGTGTCAAGTCATGACAGAAAACTTACATTGTTAGCAAGATAGGAGGATATGATACAATATGTATACATCAAGATGGTATGATGCTCAGTCGTGCTAGCAAGAAGCATTTTCAACACCTCCATTTGTTCCTTTGTGAAGGGACTACGATCTGCCAATGGAAGAGATAAGAGCATGGCATTTTAGTCTTATTCCTTTCTCCCTTATCCATGTTTCCAATCTACAAATTTTCCATGCATTTTCTAGCATTTGTCCTTTGTGTCACAAAGTTTCTTACAATTGTCACATAAGGGATGATTATCCATTGACTTTAAATCATGAGAGTTGTGTGTGTGTAAGAAGTTGAGCTTTCAGTGCTAAATGAACCCACACCTCCTGCCATCATGAACTTCCTGCTTTCTTCTCTTCGAACTTCAGCAAAGTCTTACCGAGTTGTAGAGAGAGGCATCATCCTCATAATTCTCCCTCTGATCACGTATAAGTTCTTGTTTAGACTCAACAAGAACTTGATAATCCACTTCTTGTCCACTATTGTTTTATACATCATAGCATCTTATAATTACGACCACTTCCAAACATATTTATCATAAATATCTAACTATAATCAAACCTTAATAACGTGTTGAAGTATTGAGTAACACTCAGCACTTCTTGTCGGAGCTCACGTGAATTTCTCTCAATTTGAAACAATTCTGCAATATTTCAGTCCTTAAATAAGTCTCACGAGTTGCTTCTCAAATCTGTCGAGTTGCCAGTTAAAGCAAAAAATTTACTCCAACTTCTACGATCACAGAATTGATCAACAAATGCATAACCATATGATCCTAAATCTTTCATAAATGATGGTTAGGATCAGTGTACTCAGGAACTACGCCCTCTCCCACGAGTTATTCCTCTTTTTCTTTTCTACAAATGTACATAATATACGGATTGGCGCAATTGAAAGAAATTATGACCATTGAGTTTATGGTTTGTGATAAAAGTAGATAGTTCTGGGGCGGTTTAGACAAAATTATTGATCCCTGATTTAGATCTGAAGAATAGAACTAGAAATCTTCATTACGCACCTTGTCATAAACCCTATGCACATTTAGGGTATGATAAGGATGTGGCTTATTACATGAGTGAATGAGGCTATTGTTTGAGAGGAGGTGGTGCCACGAAGAAGCAAAGGGCCTTCCAGCTGAAGAGATTCCAATAGATTTTGACTACTGGACATTTGTCAGGGAGGCTCCGACGACTGTAGGAGCGAGTAAAGGAGGGTCTACAGACTGAAGGAGAGCTAAGGTTTATTTTCTTGGAACGGGAAAGCTTCCTCTAAAGATGCAAATGACATCATCGAGCGATGCACATGATGACACCGAAGACGTCTCAGAATGCAGATGGTGAAGCCGAAGACGTCGATTCGTTCGTTTGACATAGAAGATTCAAGCAGAAGGCAACAACATCGTTCAAAGCCTTACATAAGCCATTTGAAGCCTCGCAGAAGTCGTTCAAAGCAGACAAAGCCTTCAAACGAAACTGAAGATGCAGATGATGTCAAACAAAGCAGACAAAGACGATCCATTCCTAATACAATAAAAAAAGTTGGAGAAACTATGTTCTTTTATTCCCTCATATTCAAATTACAATATTTCCTTTTATTATATGGGGACAGTGAGGCTAATCATAATTAAAACTATTACAACTTATCAAATAGAAAACAAACAATTCAAAAAAAGGCATGCAACATAATAAAAAAAATAAAAAAATAAAGCTGAAATAAGAAACTCCCTCCAATGCCTTCCACAAATTGAACCTGTGGGACACATAAGACCGATGGTCTGGGCCGCCTAAGAGGGATGGAATTCCACAATAAATTCATTTTAAAAGGATAAAGAACTACTCTGCATATTTTATAAGGAAGCTGCAAAATCAATTACAAATTTTAGGAAAAATACTAAAAGAAACAAAATCAAGATACAAGAACCTATGACCATAAGGTTACGAGCCAAGATATGAATTAATATGCACGGGTTAGTTCATATATATAAACATGCACATATGTATATATCGCTGGGTTTTGGAGGTTGAAATTTGAGGTCAGGTTTTATTTTTGGATGGTGGGCAGTGTTGATCTGCTACTATCATACATATATATTAGCATTTTATATTATGGGGGCCAACTTAATTAAACTGATCTCTGAAGCATGAACTGGTTTTATTGAGCATGGTTGGTGTTTTACAGTTTTAATTCCAACTGGATTACCTTCGACTTCATTTGCTATTAGCTGTTGGCGATTTAGGGGGTTTGGATGGATGCAGGTATTTGTTGCCTCTTTTTATATGGTTGGTTGGTGGGTTTTTGTGTCATTGGTGTGCTAACTGCTGCTTGGAAGGTATTTGGAGATGGAATGTTAATTTTAAATTTGAGCTATTTTGCTAAGTTAAGAATTTCATTGACTGATGATATTTCTTTTAAAAAATTAATTCATTTATATGTTTCTTTGTTTATCTTTCGCTGCGAGATTACTATAAGGTGCTTGTAGTTATATAATTTCGGTCTGATGGATACTGGAAGAATACAACGCAGAAAGGACATTCCAGCTCTTCATTTGGTTAAGGAAGCAAGACTACCATATGGTGGTTGTAGTTCGATAATTTTTTGTTTTATGGATACTGGAGAAATACACCGCAGAAAAGAGAATAGTTTTGAGGCACTCCATTTGCTAAAGGAAGCTGTGTTCGTGAATGATATTTACCATTGTTACTGGGTTTACTTCTATGCGATTTTGAAGTCTCTCTTTTTGGGTTACTTGTAACTTTTTTGGAGCTCTTTTTAGGTTATAAGCAAGGTGTTGGAACCCTAAGAGTGAGTATTAATGTACTTATTTTGTATGCTGGTAGAGGGATGCGCTCACCTATAAATCTTGTAACTAACTTTTTGTGTGCAATAAAATTACCTACGGGTTCAAAAAAAAATGTTTAGACTATAGATTTAAATAGGGGAGTTAAGTAGCCAATAATGTGACATAATAGTTTGGAAATTAAATGAGTTAATTCTTTTATTTTTTTGCATTCACCAATTTAATTAACAAACCAAATCACAATTGTATAGCTCAGCTAAGAACCGTATCAAATCTCTGCTTGTACATTTAGCTTCACAGAGGCTGACAACTTCAGAAATAGTTTGCATGGAAGCAACACACGATTATTAATGATCATTTCAGCACCCCTCTCTTATTTGTTGATGGTTCATTTGAGGTGATTCGGGATTTTGTCCCAATCCTCACCCTAAGTTAGCTATATAGCTGGGACAATTAAATAAACGGATACATCCTATCTGAATAGCTCATAAACGAACTCATTTAGTTATCTAAAAATTGGTGCACTTCTCCATTTCAAGAAGAAGATTGATTCGTAGGACGATTAAAAACTAGAGGCTTGAAAGAGCACATTTAAGATTAGCATCTCACCTGCAGCACCCATGTCCTTATTAGGTAGAGCAGAAGAAGTGATATAATGAAAGCTGGGAGTGCAGCAAGAACAGCAAAATTGATCTCATTTGCTTTGAGAATTTGATCCAATTCAAGCATTGCTCTGCGCCGAGCAGAAGCTACATTAAGCAATGATAGAAAACAAATTCTAAATAAGAACAAGCTACCTGAGTATAGGACAGCCAACTCACGTCTCAAGATCCAATTTAAGCTTTTGAATCTGCAAATCAGCAACGGTTATATGCATTTGAGGTAAGCGGACTGTCATAACACTAAAAGAAATCGACCAGCATGAACCTGAATAAGCATCGCTCGGGCAAGCTCTCCCCCGATGAGATTTTGAAGTGGATGCATAACCTCCTTTTCATATCTGTCCACTTAACATCATTTAAAAGCTAAAAATGGAAGAAAAATAAGTAGAATCAAATTTATCAAAAAATGAACATACAAAAAGACAATACGTAAAAATATCTAGAAAACCGATTCAGGCTTGATGCGGACACAATAATGGTGTCTTTTGTTAACTAGATGGCTAATGAATTTAAAAGGATATATTGGACTAAGTAAGCTGAAAAATTGAGCAAGTAATATCCATTTATGATGAGAGCAGGAGGCCTACGATCAAGCATCTACAAAGCCTACAATGCCAAAAACATCATGAGACTAATAACACCTAGTTTGAAATTCAGTAAACCCATTTTTATTTATTTATTTATTATTGAAGAAAAATATAATTTGAAACTTGAGATTGAACTAAACTTGAATCATTAACACCTCCATGTGGGAGCATTCATAGGTAACATTGGGGAGCCTTGTAGTAACATCATAGCAAGAAAATAGACAACTGAGGATTCTCAATAGGCAGGCACATTGTTTCCATGGGGAAGAATACAGATTTATCAGTAGGACCAAACAACCACGTCAGATGCTACTTGAAGGGAGGAATAGGGGGATACTGCCATCGAATAAATTGTCATCTAAGCGAGACGTACTAACTCTATATAAGAATCAAAAGCAGACTTCGAAGCACGAGAAACTCTCAAGGAAACCAAGGCTGAATAAGCAATTCCTAACAAGAAAACACCATTTGATGATTGTAGTTACCAGAGACTTTTGATGTACCTGGACTATGATCAAATAGTCCCCAGCAATAGAACCCCAAGAAGACGATTTTCCCAATTCTAAACCAACATTAAAGCAATTAGCGTAATTATGATCAAAGATTTTGCGAGATTAACCATAAGAAGACAAACCATCAACATAATGAAGTGCCCTTTTCCAACCCCAAAGAACAATGGACGGAAACAACAATTTCAACGATAAAAAAGGCCACAGAGAATAGAAAGCATAGTTGTAATATCAAAAATGGCCAAATAGGTAAATTAAACTCTATTTTAAATTAAATTCCATCTTCTTCATTCCCTGAAAAGCATCTAACTATTTGATAAAATCCTAAATTTTAAGTCGATCAAATTGATACTTAGAAGTGTACATAAATTATTAATATATTTGATTTCATTAAAATAAGTTATTAGGTTTTATACTTATCTTAATCCCCTTATTAACCTAATCAAGAACGGTTTATAGATCCTGTATCAACCCACTTTCACTTGCATGGGATTGATGATTTATATATATATATATATATTTTTTTTTTTTTTTGAAATGGCAAAATTCATTGATAAAAAAGAGATAATATAAAGATTTTGGTGAGTGGGTACAAAGACCCCACTCACAGGAATTACAAACGTATTCCCCAAAAAGAAAATAAAAAGAAACAATTCATAATCATGGTGGGTGTAGTCGGTGGATATACCGTTTTCCCTTCCCCTGGATCTAAGGAGAGAGTCCAGCAACATACTGAGATGTGGGATTCCGCCCGAAACAATGAAACAGTCGTCCTAAGAGTTGAGATCTTACATTCCTTTCTTCTTATTGCTAGATTTGTAAACCTGTCAATCATCTGTCAGAGGTAGTCTCATGTGAACAATAGATGGATCTTGATGGATCTTCGATGGAGGTAAACGATGGAGGTAAACTACTGATCTAACTCAGCCTCTAACACACCTTGATAGTGACGCTCCTCCATAACTTTAGTACCCTCTTCTCTCGCAATAAGTTGATCCAAGACACTTTGACTGGCATCTGCTACAACAAAATTCGTAGAATTTATAATCTGAGGAAGAGCTGCCTCAACAACAGTAGGTGGAAGTTGCTGGTTTGGTTGGTGAGGAGCAACCTTATGAGTCAAATTCTTATTCAACATTTCTGGAAGATTAACAGTGTCTGCTACATTTTTCTCCACATGGATGATTTTGCTAGGACCTACTGATCTCAAATATGGGTGAAGCCTGAAGCAATTGAGAGGAGTGTGCCCAAACAGTCTACAATGATTGCAATAGTAGGGTCTTTATTCTGCTATAAACGACTGTCAATACCCATTGAGGGCAGTACCAAGTCATATTTCGTCCACATCAGGGAGGGTGATATCCCTTTCAAACAAGAATTCTTCAACCGAAGGCCTGGTTAGATTGAAGGAGGGTGCTTCCAATTTTACATGCCTCCCTAGTGCAGTTCCAATAGAGTAGAGGACATGGTGGTTAAAGTAATGCAACTTTAGGCCAGGTAGTTTAAACCAGATTGGAGCTATAGGTGGTTCTTGACTATGGTCAAATTAAAGAGACCACTTTAGCAGTTTCATATAATTTTCGTCCACTGTCACAAACTTTTTGGAAAATATTTTGGCGTAGTTTTCTACTTTGGATAATTGTATCATCGTATGTCTTCCATCAAAGAGGCCAACCTTCCAAAGTCCTAATAGTTTAAGATCTTCAAAATTCTTTCAAACGAATTCTATTTTGGGATGTCCCGATTAGAAATTCCCAATGAGGGTGAATTTGAACTGATTAACCAGGTTGGAAACTTCAAAATCAGAGAAGAATAGAGTCAATTTGCCACTCTTTCTACCCGTCTTCTTGATAAGGTTGCAGTCCTCCTGGCCTTCGAATGATTCACGGTAAACCTGAGAAAAAACCTGATCTGATCCCATATAGCCAACCATATCAAAAAAGGAAGCCTTCCTAAGTTTTGAAACTGAAGTAGTCGGTGGTTGAGAAGGAGTCGTTGCCATAGAAGAGAGTTGAACAGCGACAAGCTACTTGAGTCTGGAGTGCGAGTAATTCGGGCGCGCGTGCAACAAACGAAGCCGCAGAAGTCTTTCACGGTCGACGCAAAATCTTCGAGCATGAATGAGTCGAACGAACGAGCCGAAAGCCGCAGAAGCAAACCCGCAGGAGGCGACAGCCGCGAACGTGCGAAGTTTTCAGCTTCGAAATCAAACGAGACGCAAGACGCGAGCCGCAGTCCACGTCGAAACAGGAAGCTCGACGCGAGCCGACAACGACAGAAGACGACGCCTGAGAAGTCTGATGAGAAACATTTGCTAGGTTTCGCCAGGAGTCAAAATCCTAGCAGAGCCGATAGCGGAAGACAACGCTATCGATTGATGATTTATATATATATAATTGTTGATGACGTTGTATATATATATATATATATATATATATATCGATTATAATATGGCGCTTTCGCTTATGCTCATACTCTACTATGGTTTCGCCATGGCGATCCTTGATTATTACTCCACTGCATCTCTTCGTCGATCAAGCTTTGCTCGTCTTTCGTCGATTTCATCACTTCCGTCTGAATCGTCATTGTCGCCGATGTCGACGTGCGTCATCTGCTTCGTCGCTCGTCTCATATGTTGCTCGTGTGGCTGCGTCGGGCTGAGTCATCAAGCTCGGCATCTCGTCTACTGCTCGTGCGGTCGCGCCTTCCAATCATCGCCTTGCTCGTACGTCGTCTGCTCCGCCTCTCGTGTCGTTTGCTGCTCGTGCGTTGCGTCAGGCTCAGTCATCGAGCTCGGAATCTTTTTGCTGCTCCTGCGGCAACGCCTTCCTTTCGTCGCCTCTCGTCCTCGATCTCGAGCTGAATTCACAAGGGTTGCGGGTTTCCGCTCCTGCTCCATGTTCTAGATTCAGAGTTTGATCTCTGCTTTGCTCTCTTCATTAACGTCGCACCTCCATCTATTGGGGATAGCTTCGGACAGATCGTATGCTACTGCCCTTGACGGTGTCCACGCCTCAGGTACATCTAAATCGTGCTCTTTTCCTCCTTTGTTTGAGTGGGAGGAGGATATCAAGAAACCTGGTAGGAAGAATGGAAAACCTGCTATCTTTTTTATAGAAGCTGAAGATATTTAACTTGTTTGCCCCTGTCGTCTGAGTTTGGTCGGGAAATATTGTATGATCATCCTAAAATGGAGCTGATTCGTAAGAAATTTGAGTTTATGCACCTTGTTGGGGGGTTGAAAATTAGACTGTTAGATGGAAGACACATCTTATACAACTAAATAACGAAGAGGATTACACGCGCTTATTTGTTATAATGATAATTTGGATTGATAACAGAGCAATGAAGATTCTCAAATGGTCTGTAGATTTTGACCCACAGAAGGAATCACCAATCATTCCGGTTTGGATTTGCCTCCCTGCTATAAAATTTTATTATTTTACTCAAAAAATGTTGAACTCTATTGCCTCAGCTTATGGTAAGTCATTAAAAACGGACATTCCCATTTTTAATCTTTCTCGCCCATATGAAACAAAGTACTTGTTAAAAGAGATATCACTTCATCCGCTTCTAAAGAAATTGGTTGGGCATGCAGCATCATGGATATTGCAAAATGCAGTGATTGAGTTTTTTCCTTCGTATTATTCGAACTGTCGTATGTTTGGTCACTCTAATTCTCAATGTCGTCATCTACACCCCCAACTCAGACCAAAAAAGCACAGTGCTCCGCCAAAGGCAGTGAATTCATCTCCTCCTGATCAGCTCCAAGTTATTGACCCTATTGATCATTAAAAGGATATCCCTAAAGACGTCACTATTCTCGCAAGCAATATGACAAACATTCAGTCCCCGGTTGTAGCTTCCCTGTCTTTGGAACCTCCTATAGTGGGGGAGAGGGAGATTCTTCAGACTCCATCAGCCCTAAAACCTATCACCAATATTACAGGTGGCAATACTTCTACTGCTTCACTACCTTCTCATCAAGTCGAGCAATTAATGTTACTCAGGCTCATGGGGATTATAATGTGCAACAGCCTACACTTGTCTAGCCAACTTCGGAATCTACTGATCAGATGAGTCAATCATCGGATGAGGAATGACAGGTTTACCCATCCAGGAGAAAGAAGAAGAATGTAGACCTATTTGAGCTCAGGAATCTGATGGATGATACTTTGATTTTTTCGGGCAATGGTACTCATTTTACCAATTTGTTAGTCGGCTCACTTCCGAGAACTAGAG